GTTGCGTGTCAAGGAGGGGGAGGATTCAGTTTCTGCTGAGGTGATGGGTGACAATAGAAAAGGCACCTCACTGCTCTCCTTAGTTAGACTCAACTCCCTAGAGCGTCCATGACAGATGTTTGCATCATGAAGATCCTTTGAACACGATGTGCTAAATATCCTACAACACACTACGGAGCACCACAACAAAGAGCTGTCCAGCCCAGATGGCTGTGTTGCCCAGTTGGAGAAACCCATGTAGAGTTGGCTGAACTAATGCTATCCAAGTTGGGACAACTGATGAGAAAAGAAACGTTTGCATTAGAGCTGGAGCAAGGAACATGAGTGTTTCTTTCCATAGTGGCCCAGACACTGCTGCTTCCGACATCCCACTGTCTCGGCTCACGTCTCAGCTCTGCTTCCAAGTCCAGCTTCCTGCGAATGTGTGCTTGGAAGGTAGCAAGTGTTGGCTCAAGGACTTGGATCCCTGTCACCCACATGGGAAACCCAGATTGACTTCTGGGCCCCTGGCTTTGGCCTGGCCTAACCATGATTAGTATATGTATCTGTGGAGAAAAACAGTGGATGGAAACTCTGTCTCTTTGCCTTTCAAATAAATGAAAACACACACACAAACACATAAAAATGTGGGGGCCAGTGTTGTGGCTTAGTGAATTAAGCTGCTGCCCGCAGCACTGACATCACAAATGGGCGCTGGTTTGATTTTGGAATGCTTCGCTTCTAATCCAGCTCCCTGGGAAAGCACTGGAGCATTGCCTGAGTGCTTGGCCTCCTGCACCCACATTGGAGACCTGGAAGAAGCTTCTGGCTCCTTGCTTCAGTGTGACCTAACACTGACCATTGTAACCATTTGGGGGAGTGAACCAGCAGATGGAAGAATCCTCTACCCCATAACTCTACCTTTCAAATAAATAAAGAAATGAGAAAATTGAAAAGAAAAATAGCCAAGGGCCTCTTAACAAGCTGAAAATAATGAAACAACTAATCAAAGTGGTAAAGGAAGAAGAAAGAATTGTTGAGAGAGATTAGATTCAGTTAGGGGAGAAAAGGCAAGGGCAAAGCCTGTGTTTTGTGGAGTTTTGCCGTCCTGGACGAGGCATGCTCTACCAGTCCTGGTCTAGGTACTTACGGATGTGAAATGAACGAAGCTGGTGAGTCCACTTTCATGCAAGCATTTTAAAAGTAGCTTATTATTTCCCACAAGCATTTGGTAGAAAGTTTGAAACTTTGAGAAAAATTTCATTCTTTTTTTTTTTAACTGATTTTTCCTCTCTTTTAAAGACGAAAAAGGGTGATTAAAAATCCTTATTCGCTAACCTTATTTACCTCTTTGTCAGACAAGTCAATTTCATCTCTCAACTTTTTATTCTTCATCTCAGGGCAGTTGTATTGGTGTGGGTCTCCTTTAGTCTGAAAACTATGATGGGAAATAGAACTCTTAGATTCTTAGTCCATGGTTTTGATGTGATGGTCAATCATGGAGTTGTGGTTGAAATTCTAGTCGTTGGGTGGCGGGGCGGGGGGGTGGCGGGAGGGATGCCGGGTGATGGCCTCAGGCCCTTGCTGGGTGCAGGTGTCAGTTCATTGCCACATGGGCTCACGGCAGGGTGGCTGGTCTGCATCACACAAGGATAAGACTCAGAACTGAAGTGCAGGGTGGAAGTTACGTCACTTATCATTAGGTTGGCCTTGTTTCCACACTGGGCATTAGCCTTCGGGTTCATTCTACTCTCAAAGGAAAGGGATGGCAATGATGTTGGTACCCTGAGAATGGAGTTGTCAGGTACAAATACTAGCCAAATCTTCTTCTATCAAGAGGATTTTTTCTGTATTTGTGAAGGAATCTGGATATTCACATTCTGATAAGATAAAGATGATTCCTCATTAGCTCCTAAATTCATATTGTGAAATTTGCTCACTTAGTATTTTCAGAAGTGAAAATCATAAAGGTGAGTCTACCAGTGGAGACCTTGTCACTGGTTGCATAGTACCCTTGAATGGGACTGAATCAATACTGGGAGAGGCAGAGGGCCGAGTGCTTTGGCTTGATGAAAAAAATGTGTATTAGTTAAGGAAGAGCAGAATGATGGAATATTGTGTAGGGAGAAAAGCATGCATGATGTTCTGGAGGCGAAACGAAAAGCTCTCTTACCTGTCCACATTCACCCATCACACTGCCTTCTCTCCCAATTTTCCTTCTGCTGGAAGTGATTCCCTGAGGTCGAGCCAACAGGCACACAGGCATAGGTGCAGAACAACAATGGGTATCTGGTTATGCAACTAGCCAAATCTGACGAAATTCACACGAAAATATCTCTTGCTTCTGACACAGAAAAGACAAATGTGTAGGGAAAGGATTAGATGGTTTTGATGCTTTTACTTTCTGTAGACTCAGGTCTATGGTTGATACTCACGTGCTTTGTGTAATTAGCATGAAGTCTCCAGATAACCAGGACAAGACCTTCAGGCTCATATCTTGGAAGCATACCTGATAGAGATTCTGTTTGCACAAATTTAACTGATGTGTGACTTCCCAGGAAAGTTGGTACAGTCAATGACTGCCTGTAGCCTGAGAGAAGAGGTCTGACAGTCATGAGGAACTATGCATTCATTGAGTTGAGTATGTGACTACGGACTTTCAACTTTGTATCATGTAGAATTTTGGGCATAGGCAGGAGTGAGCAGAACAGCTTCCATTCTGCCCACCCACCACCAATGCAAGGCCAGTCCTTGCACACCCACACCCCTTCTCACCCTCTTCCAAACTGTTTTTGAAACTTATTCGAGATTCCATACCACTTCAGCTACACATGTTTCTGCATACATCTCTAACAGAGGGACAGTCATTATTCTAAAACGGGGCTATAGTATTACTTTCTCTAGAAAACAAGCAAAACCCATGACTAACATTAGTCTTTTTAAATTGTTTAACTTTACTTTTTTTTTTTAAAGTTTTATTTATTTATTTGCATTTTCTGGCTGCTCAGCTGCTCTCCAAATGCTTTGCAACAGGCTGGACAGGTTGGAACCAGAAGCCCAGAATTTGATCTGGGTCTCCCACACAGATGGCAGGACCTCAAGGACTGGCACCACCTCTGGCTGCTTCCCCCGCATACATTACAGCAAGAACCTGGAATCAGAGGTAAAACTGAGATTCTAACTCAAGTATTCTGATAGGGAATGTCTTAACCACTATGCCAAATACCCTCATCCAACATCACTCTTTTATTCTTACTTCTACTTTCTTTTTACAGTGACATAAATAATCCACTGTGTCCCCATGGAGAAGCTTAGATGGATGCACAGGCAGAGAGGGGTGGGGGGAGATAATATAGATAGAAATGATCAGTGATAGGTAATAGCTAGCCAGGTACTTAGATAGTTGATTAATAAATGATACATAGCTAGGTGGTAGATTGGTGATAGAAAAATGAAAGTTAGAGAGAGGAAAGATGGATAGCTATATAACAGGCAAAAGTTTATAAAGAAATTCAAGAGACCCAGGGCCTAACATGGTGGCCTAGCAGCTAAAGTCCTTGCCTTGCACACCCAGGATCCCATATAGGCACCAGTTCTAATCCTGGCAGCCTTGCTTCCCATCCAGCTCCCTGCTTGTGGCCTGGGAAAGCAGTTGAGGATGGCCCAAAGCCTTGGGACCCTACACCCACATGGGAGACCCGGAAGTAGCTCTGGGGTCCTGGCTTTGGATTGCCTGAGCTCTGGCTATTGTAGCCACTTGGGGAGTGAACCAGTGGTTGGAAGATCTTCCTCTCTGTCATACCTCCTCTCTATATATCTGACTTTGCAATAAAAATAATAATTATAAAAAGAAATACAAGAGACCCACTCTATAAGGTAGCCACACAAAGGATGGATGGATCTGCAATTGGTGAAGTGATTTAATGAAATCGCATCTCAATGGCAATGTCCCAGCAATCAGATGGAATGTCACGAGTTGGGGGGCTGGTGAAGCTGATGGGTCCTTGTCAAGGAATGGAACATCCATTGCAGGTGATGATGAATTCATTCAGAAAAATGCAGTGCTTCTTACTTCAGTGGCATCGACAGAGGAAGTCAGGAACAACATAGTGGGGGAAATACGAGCTAATATGTCCTTCAGCAAATTAAAAAAATCCGGTAAGATTGTTCCGAACTGGCCAAGCACTCATCTGTCAGAAGCAACTTTTGTGTAAGACGACGCTGCGACATGTCATGCTTGTGGCACATTGCTAAGCTGAAAATCGATCCTGCTGAACTTGAGTGCAGACGGAGCTCTGCCTATAATTCCCCACCCAGGACCCCTGGCAATAACTTGCCTCGTAGCAAGTAGTTCGCACAGATCAAAGCTGCATTATTTAAGCGTGTCCAGGGGGCAGATTTGAGCTTTGAGCCTCATCCTTTAAAGTAAAGAAATAACTGGGTTTGCTTTGAGAGAGAAAGTATGTTGGACTAACTGGGAACTTCATGCCAGCCCTCCCCCCTGTTCAGACTCACAGGAATGCCCTCTTGGCCCCCAGTTCCCTATAACCTGGAGGGGAGCACAACGCAGTGGGGGGGGGGGGAAGCCAGACCCTGCAAAGGAGCCGCAGGAGATTCTTATTCAAATCAACCCGGAGCCCTGAACCAGACGTGGGGAGGGAGGCAGCACAGGCGAGTCCGGAGTTGCCATAGAATGCGCCTGCTTGCTCCGTTTCACCCATGAGTGAAGCCCAACTCAGCGGTTTCAGGCAGTGTGTGTGTGTGTGTGTGTGTGTAGCAGGCTCCTCCTTTCCTTGCTGTCTCCTCTTCCATTGGTAAAAGTCTCCGGCAGGGTCATGTAGGGACCCCACCCTTTCTCTGGGTTTGCACTCTGCAGCTCTCCACGACTTTACACCTGAATGCACGCCAAACCTCTGAGACTATATAAAGGCAACCTGGAAGGAGGGATTGCACAGTTCCAGTGCATGAAGCAGCCGCGCAGGAACTGGCCAGCTCTTCCAGCCCAGCCGCCCTCGCTCACCATGCTCCCACCTGCCATTCATTTGTCCCTCCTGTCCCTCGCGTGCATCCTCCTGAAAAGCTGCTTAGCTTTTAAAAACGATGCTACCGAAATCCTTTATTCACATGTGGTTAAGCCTGCCCCAGCACACTCCAGCAGCAACAGCACGCTGAATCAAGCCAGGAACGGAGGCAGGTATCTCAGTAACTCTGGACTTGACCGCAACAGTAAGTGTGTTCTCATGGTACACATGCTTTTCGCTTCTTTCTTTGGGGGAGCACCAGCTCATATCCCTCTTGAGTTGTTTCCTTGCTAACTAACCTGAACCATCGGTATTCTGCTGAATACAGCCTGGGAATAATCTGCCGCATATGGAGGCTGGCGTTCTGCCCTGGGTGGCGATGTTAGAATTAACGTAGCTAAAAGCGTTTTTCTTACACAAGCACAGATTGGATTTTTTTTCAGTACATCCGCAAAGAAAGGCTTTTCAGGTATGAAACTGTTGCTTCTCTAGAACTATGAAAAATTAGCCATTTCATAAGCTTTTTTTTTTTCTTAGTTTAGACTGTTTTGGTTCAAGGCGTGTGTTACTTTGCTAACGTGGATCAAGGTAACCAATAGTATGCCTAGGAAATCCTGAGAGGGAGAAAAAAAGCTTCTGGGGCATAAGTTGGTTCTTGTGCATTTCTGATACATGTCCGGGGAAATAGTTGAAAGTTTTGATTATGATCAGTTTAAAAGAGGGCAAAACTTTAGAAAAAAAAAGAGTGGACAAACTGTATTTTTTTCCTCAAGTAATCCCTTAATAATGAAGTCAACATTTAGGTAATTGCATATTGTTGTGAAAGACTGGGGACATTCTTATCACTTTAGGGTAATGATAACATGCAATGATGTTTTATAGGGGCAAATGTGGTTTTTATTTTTTTTTCTATCTGCTGAGCTGACACACCAGTTGGCCACCAATTAGGGGTCAACTGGTCTACTGGCCTTTGTCTATTGCTTTCATGGGGGAGGAGAGGTCAGAGAGCCAGGTCACACGGGAAACCTTGCACGAATATTCTGTCCCTCCTCCCCAGCTCCATTCAGCTACTCAGAGGACTCCAGCCTTCTGGGAGATTGAAGCCCCCGGAGACTGCTACTGTCCAAGAAAGCCAGTGTGTTTTGAGCTCTCACCAAGATGTTGGCTTTCCAGAATCCAGGAGCTGTCTGATTATAATTAGATTCCTGGGCCATGTAGTGCTGTTCATTGGCAGTGAACTGTCACTGCCAAAAAAAAAAAAAAAAGCGCTGGATCTCTGTGTGCAGGGAAACACAAAAGCTAACACAGGTCAAAGTCATTTCTAACTGTCTCCAGGTGCCTTCCCAAGGCAGATGCTAGGCGAGCTGTCTTCATCAGGCAAGCCCTGCACCCTGTCCAGCAAATAGTTTAGCTTTCGACTTTCCACCCCCGCCCCACTCTACATTTGTCTGCCTCTCGCCTTACCCCAGGAGTCCTGATGTATAGACACAAACCCAAACTCCTGACTTGGGTTCTGCATTGAAGTCAAATCCTTGCAATGTCTCCTCTCCCTGTGTGCTTTGTTTGTTTGTTGCATTTCAGCCCTTCTTTTAAACCTTCTGTTTCCATTCTGGTTAATAAGGCTTGATTTCTTTGCAAGCTTGTTCTGGGTAATTCTCTTCAAGTTTAGATAACAAAGCAAGGGTAAGGAACATTTCAGACATTGTCAAGATTAATTTTTTTGGCTTTAATTACATTAGGCATGTAACAAAAAACAGCCAATTAGAGGGCCTACTTATCAAATCCCAGTAAGTAAAACAAAAAGTTTGCCATGGCCAACGTTCAGGAAATGGACAGCTTAGTTCCTTCTGCAGTTGTAAAGCAGACATGTTAAGGCATTTTTTTTTTTCTCCCATAAAATTCATGGAAATGTGGCCAAGTTGTTATGGCAACCATACGTTCCTGATTTAGGAGCTCTTACAGTCTTTAAATGCTGACTTGTTGTGGCATTTCGCATTTCAAACATTTTCAATTTGTATTTTTAAAACACGGTTTGGGAATTTGTGTTTGAAATGTCGTTATTAAGTTTGCTATGCAAGATGTCAGATGCTGTATACACGTGCATGCTTTTCTGCAGCTGTATGCTAAAACTGAAATAAAACCTTACGGAGTGCACATGCGTGGGACACAACACTGAAATACTTTCCAGCCTTCTCAGCAGAGTTTTTCAAAAGCTAATTAAAAGCATTTACAGAGGTTAACCAATATGACTCTTTAGAAAGTGAACATTAGAAAAAGATTGTTTTACACTGGTTGAGGAATGAATGTTTACACATATATTGACTGGGGAAGGAGACTAACAAAACGGGTTTTTCAAACACACTAATAAGTAGTTGGCTATGGTTGTATAGGAAAAAAATCAGGCAGGCCCAGACCCAAGAGAAGTTACCTACAGTCAGGTAAATAGATGATTTTTCATGACAGGGTGTCGGTGGCTAAGCAAGCAGATGGCTGCCTTGAGAAAATAAAGCAAGTGTCCACCCTCCATCGGTGGAGTTCAGGAATGACTTTCGTTCCTGCAGTTTACTTTGGAAAACCAAACGCTTACAAGCCTTGTCCGCGTGTCTGATGACTGCTCTCTCTCTCTCTCTCCCGTTTCCTGTAGCTCGGGTTCAAGTGGGCTGTCGGGAACTGCGTTCCACCAAGTACATCTCGGATGGCCAGTGCACCAGCATCAGCCCCCTGAAGGAGCTGGTGTGCGCTGGCGAGTGCCTGCCCCTGCCGGTGCTCCCCAACTGGATCGGGGGCGGCTACGGCACCAAATACTGGAGCCGCAGGAGCTCGCAGGAGTGGAGGTGTGTCAACGACAAGACGCGCACGCAGCGAATCCAGCTGCAGTGTCAGGACGGCAGCACGCGCACCTACAAGGTCACCGTGGTCACGGCCTGCAAGTGCAAGCGCTACACCCGGCAGCACAACGAGTCCAGCCACAACTTCGAGAGCGCGTCCTCCGCCAAGCCCGCCCCACACCCCCGGGAGCGGAAGCGAGCCGGCAAAGCCGCCAAGCACAGCCTGAGTTAGAGCGCCTGCCTGCCCGTTCCCAGAACGGACTGGAAGAGTCACAGCACCCACCATCTGCTCGGCAAAGTGGGTTGCTTGCAAAGACTGGAGACTGCCATCGCCTGTCTCACTCGGAAGTCGATGCTTCTGTGCTTTGATCCGACCCCGTGTACTATCTGGAGGATTCGGGACCTTCTTGGGTTGGGGAAACCAGGGCAAGAGGTTTTTTTTTTGTTTGTTTTTTAAAGTTTTCCCAGCTGTATGGCGTCATGTCCCTCCGAGCGATTTGCCATTCCTTTCCAAGCCTCTGGTAGCTTCATCCATCTTTACAAGGAATTCCCATTGGTAGACAGAAAAGAGCCTTCCCGTTGCCCCCTCGCCCATCCTTGGCCCCAAACACAAACCTTCAAGCTAGGAAAAAAAAAAAAGGCGAGGATTGTCACTGACAGTCACATGTCACATGTCACAAAAAAGGTGCTGTTTGGGTTCACTTATGGGAACAGTAAGTGCTTGAGCTTACCTGCAAAAAGAGCACGTGACTTGTCACCCCCACCCCGGAATTCGCCCTCGTCACTTTTTACTGTCTCCTGGTAGGAAGTTAGAATCTGCCTGCTGACCCTTGCTTCGAGTGGGATGCCAGGAACGCATGGCAGGAGCTAACGAGTAATGCTGATTCACTATTTATTTGTCGATGTTATTTAATTGAGCTTTCACGTGTGATTTTTTTTTTTCAAAATGTTATTTTTTTTTTTTTAATATTTTGAAGTTTCTTCGTGTACCTAGATATTCGTCTCCGTGATCTGCGCTTCACGGGGAACAATGAAAGTACAGGCTGTAGATATGTAAAATAAAGAAGTGCACCCCAAGATTCCATATGTCTCATGACGGACTTTGTCAATAGAAGGAATCTTTTAAAAGCAACACGATGTTCTGTAATCCTGAAATACGGAAGACTTCCTTGTTATCAATCTGTATAATCACAAGCTGACTTCTCATCAGGCTCACAGGTATCTTTTCAACAAAAATAAACGCACCTGAAAATGAGCTGATCTTCATCATGTATAATAAAAAGGTACATCTCTGCGGAGATTGTAGAATAAATGGACTCCTATGAATAACCGATTTTTCTCTTTTCTGAGTGACCTTCTAGTCTTGACAGGCATTTCTGCAGGAGGCAGTGAGCTGGAGACCACCTCGTCAGTCAATGAGACGTGTGGAAAAGTTGGGTGGCGGCCCAGCGGCAGGCTGCAGTGAGAATATCAGGTTTACATCCAGCGCCGTAGTGAGTGTCAAGTCTGGTCTACATTAAGAATCACCTGGGGGGAGATATTTTAAGACCCAGTGCCCTGGTTTCCATTCAAATCACTTCAGAATTTCTGGGGGTAGCACAATTTTTAACGTTTCTTCCGTGATGTCAATGTGTAGCTAAGCCTGAGACAGGAAGGAATTTTACGGAAGTCAACGTCTTCCTGTGGGGAACCTTCTTATTGTTATCTGAAACGCAGAGAGGCAGACAGACACCCTCTGGGTCCTTCGCCAAAGGCCAGCAAAGGTGAGGGCTGGGTCAAATAGAAACCTGGAGCCAGAGACTCCAGCTGTGTTTCCCACGTGAGTGGCAAGGGCCCAAGTATGTGAAGCATCCTTTTGGTTTACATTCACAGGGAGCAGCTGGGCCTTGAGAAGGGATTGGAGCATCCCAAGTGGTGTCTTAAGTGCCATGCCAAATGCCTGCCCCACACTGTGGGTCTTTGAATGCTATGCATGGCTCCCAAGCCAAAATATAAAACAAACTAACAAAAAAATGACAAAGAATAAGAACACTGGTTTCTGAGTGTTGGCATGTTGTAATATGAAGCAACATCAGCAATCAACGCAAACTGCTTTACCAATGGGTTGCTTCAAATGATTGACAACAAAGGCTTAGGTTCAGGTTAATAAGATTTTCCGAGGTTTTCTTTTTTTGAATGCTGGGCATATAGTACTTGAAATTGCAAGTCTAAAAGTCACAAGGATAGCACACATAACTTAGTAATCTAAATGTATATATTATTATGGTGTCTTTTTTATGGGCGGTAGAAAAGTTTCAACATATATAAAGAATACAACTTTAGATTTTATGATAATCCCAATCCCCATATCATCAACTAAATATTTCATCATCTGTTACTGACTTAGTTTTCAGTTTTTTACCAAATTTATTTGTTGGACAGGCAGACAGACATAATGAGAAACAGAGAGGGGGTACCATCCAATGGTTGACTCTTCAATGAACACCAGGAGCCTGGGCTTCTATCTGGTTCTGCTCAAGTACTTAAGCCATTTTCTGCTGCTTTCCTGGGCACATTAGCACAGAACCAGTTCAGAAGCACATCAGCCAGAATTCCAGTTGGCACTCCATTCTGAATACCCATCTCAAGAGTTGACTTAACCCACCATGCCACAACACCAGACCCTATCTGAAATTCTTAAGAACTAAAATCTTAAGCTATTTAGGAGATATCATTCTGTTAATATATGAGACATTCACAATAACTTTTCCATAGGTGAAATTTACAAGAAATGGATGGTTTTGTCTATTTTACTTTCTCAATTTCAATGTTGGGAATTTAAGACGACAGAGGAAAATTAAGGCACTTCTTAAATTCTTGCTTTATTAATGAAATAGTATCTTCATAGACCTTAGAAAAAGTCCTAAGACCTGCAAGATAAGGTGGGCTTGACCCGACGGTGGCTTTTCTCGATCAAGATTGTGTTATGGCCTTTAACCAAGAAAATGTTGAAACAGTGATTTTGGCAACTATAAAATGCTAAAATTCTAAAAATTTTCATTGATGTGATATTAGCAAATGCTTCATGAATGTACTGAGAAAAAGAAAAGGAGCAGAAGCAGCGTACAAACAGGGTTTCTGCAGTCCCTGCTGAGACAAGACTCGGTTTTCATTTTCATGGTGACATTCAGCTCACAGACGCAGTTCAGGCCTCCCGACATTGTGACATGGTATTTAGCATCAAATGGCAGAAAAAGGTCAGCCATCAGTGAGAAAGGCCTGGGGTATAAACAATCTCTCAAGGAAGCAAAAATCAAAAGCCATCAAAAAGAGCAGCTTTCTAATTACAGTAGGATTGAAACATGCTAAAACAGCACTGGCGTTGAAATGACTGATTCACTTCAGGATGGTCCCCTGTGGACTCCCACGCTCCAATCTGATCAACGCTGTGCAGTTCTGCTGTTGCCTTAGTAACGGACACTCCAGAGTGATGGCTTACGATCCCTCTAGAAGGCCCTTCCCTCTAGTTTACATTCATAGCATCTGGCCACGGAAGGATTGACTTACCAAACTAATTTGGCTATCATGGATAAAGGACTGTTTCAAATTTGGTAGACACATTTGAGAATGGTTAACTACAGATATATTTGTAATTATATACATTATACACTATTTAAGGCATAAAAATAAAGGAGATTGAAAGAAAAACTAATGGCAAATATGAAGGGTATGCAGAAAGTTCATGTCAAGTGGATAGCATGAAAAACCTATTATCTGTAAACTATTTAAGGTACATTTATGTCCAAGTAAATAATTTATTTGGTGTACTAGACTTAAACCAAACAAGGAGATGGAAACTTTGAGAATATCTACCTGCAAAAAAGTTTAATATTAAATTTAAGTTACTTAACGCTTATTAACTTAGGAAAGTTACAAATAACCATTAATTGGTGATATGTTATCCACACTTATTGTTTTTTTAAGATTTATTCACTTTTTATTACAAAATCAGATATACAGAGAGGAGGAGGAGAGATAGAGAGGAAAATCTTCTGTCCGAATATTCACTCCCCAAGTGAGCACAACGGCCAGTGCTGTGCCGATCCGGACCCAGGAGCCAGTAACTTCCTCCAGGTCTCCCACACAGATTCAGGATCCCAAAGCATTGGGCCGTCCTCGACTACTTTCCCAGGCCAAAAGCAGAGAGCTGGATGGGAAGTGGAGTTGCCAGGATTAGAACCAGTGTCCATATGGGATCCCAGCAAGTTCAAGGTGAGGACTTCAGCCTCTAGGCCACGCCACCGGGCTCCATACTTACTTCACTGTACATATTACTGAAAGTTAGGAGGGTGGTGTTGAAATTTGTCAAATGGGTGATATTTTACCACATGGTCTTATAGGATAAGCAGCCCTGACAACTGTTGCCGAGTGTCTACTATAATACTAGAATAACTGTTTCTGTTATGTAGCATCTGTTTCTATTTCTATTAACTTTCTTTTCTTTAATTTTTTGAAAGACTGAGAAAGGGAGACGGACAGACAGACAGGAACAGAGAGTTCATCTACTGGTTCATTCCCTAGTTGGCCACAATAGCCGGGGCAGGGCCAGGCTGAAGCCTGGAGCCAGGAGCATTTTCTGGGTTTCTTGTGTGGGCACAGAGCCCCAAGCACTTGGTCCACCTTCCACTGCTTTCCCTGGCCATGAGCAGACAGCTGGTGTGGAAGTGGTGCAGCTGAGACTTGAACCAGTGCCCATACAGGATGCCTGTGTTGCAGGCAGTGGCTTTACTCGCTGCATCACGATGCCAGTCTCATGATCTGTCTGTTTTTTTAATCCTCCATAGAAGGACCACCACCAGGAGATTCTAAGTGAAAGGAATAGTATTTAGTGGGAGCAAAATCAAGATACTTCAAATTTGCTGAATGAAGTTAGGGTTTTTTGGACCTGGCATGGTAGCTTGGCTGCTAAAGTTCTTGCCTTGCACATGCTGGGGTCCCATAGGGTGCCAGTTCTAATCTGGGCAGCCCCCACTTCCCACCCAGCGCCCTGCCTGTGGCCTGGGAAAGCAGTCGAGGACTGTCCAAAGCCTTGGGACCCTGCTTCCGCATGGGAGACCCAGAAGAGACTCTTGGCTCCTGGCTTCCAATCGGCTGAACTCCAGCCATTGCGGCCACTTGGGGAGTGAATCATCAGACAGAAGATCTTCCTCTCTGTCTCTCCTTCTCCCTGCAGATGCCTTTCCAATAAAAATA